CTCGTAGCCGCCTCCGCCCCGCCGCTGCACCGGTCCCACCACCCAACTCACTCCGCCTCGCCCCGCCGGTCTCACTCCACTGCGTTTGCCCCGCCGCCTCCCCCTTGGCGCCGACGCTCCCGACACCTCTTCGGCCTCGCCTCATTGTTGCATTGCTCGCCCTTGACCCCACGTCGCAGCCACCCCCGCCGCCTCATGGCTGCCGCTACCTCCCCTCCCCCTCCCACGCCATCTGCCGCCGCCTCTGTCGGCCGTACGTTTCCTTTAGTGTGCGTCTGGCGGCGACGGCTCGCTCCGAAAAACGGCCCGACTTCCGCAGAAGGGCGCTGGGGCGGGCGATGCGGACAGGGCACTGAGGTGATCACTGAGGCAAGATTCTTACGGCTCATTCACATCGCGAACGTAAACATAAGCGTAACGCATAGGCGTAAACGTTAACATAAGTGATGGACTGAAGTATTCACGATGTCTACCATAAACGTAAGCAAAATAAGAGTTTCTGTTGGTTGTGAGACATTCTAGTTTACTGTTGTTGAATGAGAGAATCGACTTCGAGGTATCGACTGGGTCCATGGCCCATGATACATGGTGTTACTTCGTCTATCGACTTCGAACCTATTTCGTTCTCGATTATGAGTTAACGAACGATAATTGGTTCATCTCTTATGTCTTACTTAAGCATAAGCACTGGAACTTGCACGCTTTTCTTTTAAGTTAACGACTTACGTGTTATGTTTATGCGAACGCACTGTGAATGAGTCTGCTTGTGGACGTAGTCCTAACTTTTATGTTAACGCCATGTTTATGTTTTCAATGTGAATGGGCCTTTACGCTTCAAACTTTGTCGATGCTTTGCTGTACCTTCAAAATATTAATTAGTTTTGTGTCCGCAAATGACAAATATAGCTGTCGAGAAGATCCTCATTTGTACAACAGGACCTAAAACGTCATATAATGATGTATCGACAATAAAGAGTACTTCATGGGAGGTTGAATTTGAAACTGTGGGTGGTGTTTTTGAGGTCAAGGGTGCATGAAGAGCTACTAGTGACTGCTGACAAAGTCGCCAACAAGTTCTCGCCTATTACTATCTCCTTTTGAGCGTGTCTCCGAATAAATACTAAGGCTTCTACGCAACCTTCCACGCACCAGTGTTCGGCGCGTCGCGTTGTAGCCCAAGAGATTCCGTGCATCTGATGAACACCGGTGCGTGAGGGGAAATGTCACAATTGTAACTTTTGTGTTATGAACTTTCTGACCACATGATATTTGGCAAGGAGATCATTCTTGACTCCTGAGATGCATGTGAAAAAAGTAACAGGTTGATGTGTAATGTTTGTTAATGTTATTGGAAATTTATACACAGTGAATGGTACAATGAGCCACGACCAATACTTAGATGCCCTAAAAAACCAATGCTTCCTTCACATAAATGAGTTTTTGAAAAAAATCAAAAGAAAACAATGACTACGCTCCCTATCACAACAGCAAATAGTTGGAAAACATCTTCAAGAAATTGATCACTCTGGGTTCCAATAGACTGCATATGACATGACCTGACATGAATCCCATTGAAATTGTTCGTTCGATAGTTAAAAGAAACTTAAGAGAAGGCCATTAAAACCAGGTCATAAAACAACTCATTCGCATCTCGCATTCAAATGAAAAAGAATGGCTTGAAAATTAATTTTCAACATCCCTCAGAACAAGTGTGTTAATTATGAAATGTTTATAAACCATTAGCAGCCTGTGCACAGAGTGTGTGTCTATCTGCAGTCGTGAATACATTTTGTGTCGCAGGGGCGTCATGGGAGCGGCGTGCGAGTCGCGTGGGTGCGTGGGCGCAGGGCGCGTGGTGCGGGGGCGTGGGCGGTGGCGCGCCCGCGGCCGCTCGGCCTCCACGTCGCCCGCGTCCGCCCTCTCCGCCTCCGCCTGCCCCCGCCCGCCGCCGCCGCCGCCCCTGCTGCTGCTGCTGCTGCTGGCGTGGGCGGCGGCGCCGCGCCCCGCCGCCGCCGTCGACCAGCGCTTCGCCATGGAGCCACAGGACCAGACGGCCATCGTGGGCTCGCGCGTCACGCTGCCCTGCCGCGTCGTCAACAAGACCGGCGCGCTGCAGTGGACCAAGGACGACTTCGGCCTGGGCACGCACCGCAACCTCTCGGGCTTCGAGCGTTACCGGATGATCGGCAGCGACGAGGAGGGTGAGTGCGCCTCCAAGCTTCCGATTGGATCACACGGAAATAGCTAATCAAACGCGAAGGGACTCTCTAAATAAATCTAAGTATAAGAGCTGTATTTCAGAAATCTAAAATCTTTGTCAACTAGTATTCTAGTTATTGAACTTCCTTTTAATCTTTCAATGGTCCTTTTTTCCACCTCTATTTTCTCTATTTCTATTCGCAAACATATGTCTCTAAAAATGTAACCAATTTGTCTCCATGCTTCTTATAACACCTATCAACTTTTTCCATTACAACACACAACATTATGGTCATACCGATATAATAAAAATATGTTTTTACTTCATTGTATCTAAAATTGAACAGTGTTGCTAGATTAGTTATTTAGTTAGCGATTCATTCAAAAATAACCCGCCTGACTTAATAATGCTGTTTGTCCAAAATTCTCGAGTAATAATTGAAGATGGGGTGGCCCAGATAATTTGTTGTTGTTGTTGTTGTTTTTCCTGAAGGCAATACTTTTATCATTTCTTTTGTAAAGAAACCATTGCGTTGTATTTCATTTTAGAATGTATAAAAGTAATTAGTATAGAAACACCATGGTGTGCATACTTATCCTTGATATGCAAAATATTTTTAGACGTTAATGTCCATGTTCTTTTAATAAAAACGTCTTTCCCTGAATACGACAAGCCAATGCTATTTTCCGCCCTCATGCATCAATAAGTAATTTGATTCGATTTATGACAAAATTATTGGAACGTGAGTATTTGATAGGTCTTTAACATCTTTTATTTTCTAAGGTGGCCCACGTTTTTGGAAGATTTTGGAGGTTTATCGTTATTATTGATGAAAAATAAATTATTGTTCTTGTTAAACATGTTAAATTATTGTTAAACGTTCTTGTCCACATTAACGCAAGCGATCGACACATCCCACTTTTAGCGACGAAGGTTCTTCTGGCATTGGCAGGCAACCTTGCAACACCGTAAGCTCACCGGCATTTTATCACCAACCACGCACGAGAAGGAATAAAACACGCTTCATCACACCCGCCCGCAGCCCTCGCGAAACTGTCGACCCCAAACAATCCGCATGGAGCCTCTTGATTCGTGCGAGGCCCTTCATAATGCAACCGGTTAATTCACTCGCTCTTTTATTCATCCTTTCATCCGCTCACGGCGCTGGTTTATTCATCGCACACGGTGAATAAGTGAGGCGCGCACGTGCGTTATTCACCAGCGCGTTATTCATTCGCGCCTGAATTATACACTCGCCGATGTAACGGTGTCCGCGGCGAAGTTCCCGTGCTCGCCGCTAGTGCTGGTCACCGCGCGACAAGACCGCTACGGTGTTCGGCCCGGCCAGCCGGAATAAACACGAAACCCAGGGATTGGTGCATGGCAAACGAGATGGTCATTGGCGTTTCAATTGGGAGTCCTCTTTGTATGATAAGTGATTTTGGTGATGTTTGTTTTTGAGTGTCAGAGTGGTTTTAGTTTGGGGGATTAAATGCTCTTATGGTGTTCATGTGGTATATTTGTAGTAGTTATGTATGATGTGGGGAAAGAGAAGATTTTTTTCTAAGAAAAAAATGCTCAGTGTCAGCTGACGCGTATTGCACATACATATAGGGTGTCTCAATAAATGTTACAAACTTCTAGGTCGTGTAAAGGGGTCGAAAATTATCACTTTTTGCCAACCAACTTGTAGTGGGAAATTGCTTATAACAAACGTTCTAGGTGCAGCATGGCCCCTGATTGTAAGGCACAATGTTTGGCAGGTCACGTTCTGGCGCAGTCAAGGAGTACCTGCCGAGCACCTGCGCACGCGCTGGTGCCTTACAATCAGGAAACACGTACAAGGGCATTTAACTCCGTCATACGCAATTTATCTCTATGCATTTATTGGCAAACAATATGATTTTCTCCTCTACCTGCCCCAGAAATGACTGGTCATTAGCTTATATATCACAGGAACAGGAATGCATGACCATTGAAACGGCCTTTGACTTTCCGAGGTCTCTTTGCACGCCCAGTGAAATTTGGAAGGAATAATTAATATTGTAACATGTCTTTACTTTAATTGTATAATCAAATTGTTTAATGTTTGTGTAATTTTCTTTCAAACCTGACAATAGCTATATTGTCTTTCAAATAGTTGTAGTTTCAATAGGTATTTGGTCTTTCAAAATTGACTTCTACTTGTCATCAATCTAAATTTGGCAACACTGGTCAGTTTTAGTCATTTATAATTCTGTTTCGAAATTAATGTACTTATCCTTTGTATCTTATATGTGAAAATCATAACAAATAATTCAATATTTGTGCAACGAAATATGTCATTTTATTAGCTGAACTTGATCTTCGAGGTTAAGCCATTTCCATTTAATAATATTTCTGGTCGATTTGTTCAACGATAATCGGCTGTATAAATCAGATTTCCCGCTGAAGATGGGAAAATAAATAACTGAAACGTGACTGATTAAACATTTGAATACGACGGGTTTGGCTCTAGATAATCCTTCATCACATCGCTTTCGCTCTGAGAAAGAAGACAAGATTTCTATCTCACATTCGCCACAAGAATTGACTTCATAGAACTGGGTCATTGTTACACCATCATAATATTTTCACAAAATACCGTAATCGATACGGCGGATAAGCTAGTGGTATTATTTTATTTTTCTCGAATATATGTCACCGAACTGTATAAACGCGAGCCCTTCGTTATTTCTACATCACGGAAGATAATGTAAGCTAGTATGAAACTAGTACGTAGGCATTTCCAAAGTACTTCATACATCACTAGGGGGCGGATTTTAATGGTTGTTTTACCTTTTACGTCATTTTAATGCATTTTTAGTGATTTCATCGATTTTTATATCACATTAATGATACTTACTTCAAACAATATTTACAAGGAGCAATAAACGTTCATCACAGAATTCCTGAGAAGATATTCTATTTTTTCGCTGTTATATTGTAATGTCAGCCGTTGTGAGTACAATGTAATCTCAGGTTCTTGTACCGCCTATCGGCGCCATTGTCAGATCGGCAGATTTTGCTATAAATAAAGGCCGAGATTTTCTTTTAAAGAACGCTCCAAACCAAACGTTTGCAAACTTGAGTTCACTTCAACAAAAGTAACATATCCAATAGACAGCTTCGATTACATCAGTAACATATGCAACAGCTTGAGTTGTTCATCTGAAGTGGTTACTTTATTTTTGTTTGTTTTGGGGGCATTTTGTCAATGAACGATTGTACAAGCACGTTGTGTGTGCGGCAGGCGACTTCTCGCTGGAGATCTTCCCGGTGATGCTGGACGACGACGCGCGCTACCAGTGCCAGGTGGGGCCCGGGCAGGCGGGCGAGCCAGGCATCCGCTCCAAGTTCGCCACGCTCACCGTGCTCGTGCCGCCCGAGCCGCCGCGCATCGTGCAGGGCGACTTCCTCGTCACCACCGAGGACCGCGAGATCGAGCTGGAGTGCGTGTCCCTGGCCGGCAAGCCGGCCGCCGAGGTAAGCCTGTCCTACCCTCGCCCCTTGCGCTGGCATGCGCATGCCCGGAGACAGCCGCACTATACATACGGTACTAAAGACCTTAGCAATTGACGCACACCGAGTCACTAACAATCAATCAATCATGTGGAATGAGATAGATGGATTACTTCACCTCTTGTTTTACTTTCCCTCTGAAGGCATACAAAGGATTTGTTCACCCTTAAAAGTCCACAGCTTCCATTGGATTTGAGCCCCAACACTTGGATAGATACTGTGACTGTTATACCTGCATGTTGCATCCCAGGAGATGGAGATGGTATTCCTCCCACATGTTAATGTGATATCCGACTCCGACTTACATCCCGCTCAAGGTATCTCCTCCTCGGGACGGCGTGAGAGGAAGGAAAAAATTAAAGTTATTCAGTGTCCAGAAGTAAAGCAAGACCCATCTCAGGATAAAGAGAAATAAAAATAACTTATTGTAATTGGTCACATAACATGTCACACAGAGTTTTTAACTTGTTTTTGATAAATAAATAGGATGTTGTATACTGTTTAAAAACTTTGGCATATTCAGACTTTTGGAACTTAGAATAAGGAACTAAGGATAAACAATACTTTACTATCATTATTTTGAAATATTAATTGACTTTTTTGTTGCTCTGAATAAAAATCATAGGAAATAGAATTTGGTTTCAAAATAACTTATAAAATATCTTAAACTTTTTTAAGAATCATGATGCTTTTATGATGCAATTATATTGATTATTTTAATTGTCAATCTTTCTTTGAAATGAATTTTCTCTTTTATCTTGAAACAATTTTATTTCTAAGATCTATTATGAATCAAATTTGAGGAATTGATTGTATAATTTCAAGAATTGATTTTGCATTTTTTTTCTACGAAGTGAAATCATTTGTCCTATGCAGCAAGAACACAACAATAATTGTTAGAAAAATGAAATCTAACACTTGTTTGTAGATTAATGTCGTTTCATTGAGAATCATTTTAGCATCAAATTAATATCTTATCTTTGTTTTTATATTAATCTTAGTTGTAATGTTTATTTTATTGTAAGTTTTTGACCTCGATAACACAGACTGAGTTTTTTATAACAATTTAGTAAATTATATAACATGAAATAATTGTTATGAAAAACCACACAGCCTGTTTTATGACGGTGAAGAAGCTTTCAATAAAAATTTACATCAAAAGATAAGAAAACTATTGTGAGGTTTATAATTGTAAAATGCTGCTTATTGGACTTGTAACTTTCTTTTTTATCTGGCATGAGTTATGTTCAAAATTAATTTCTCTCTTTCTTTCTGTTTTTATTCCCTAAAGATGGAGACAAGATCTACAGTGAATTCGTAAATTTTACATTTATTGTAAATATTTTATTACAGATAACTTGGATTGATGGGCTTGGCAACGTGATGACCGAAGGACTGGATGAAATTGTAGAAGCACTGCCTGATGGCCGGCGCTTCACCTCGAAGTCTATTCTGAAATTGACCCCCAAGAAAGAACACCATAATACCACCTTCACTTGTCAAGCTCAAAATACTGCAGATCGCACTTACCGAAGTGCACGACTTCGTCTAGAAGTAAAGTATGCACCAAAAGTAAGTATCTTAATGCTAGTTCATTTTTGTAATTTTTTTTTTTTTTTTTAATGCAATTATATTTTTCATGTTATGTATTATACTCATATTCATAAAAAATAGTGTAGATTTTTAATATTGTAAAATATTCCTTTTTTCTTTTAATGCAAAATAAATTTGTTTATTTGGTCAAAAAACTGTATGTGATGTCTGGAGGAGAAGATAATTTTTATTCTAATTTCAATTTTAAACTAACTTTTAAATAATATTAATTTGTTCATGAAAAATTGGAAATAAGCATTGCCTTCAGATTCATTCTGTTCTTAGCAACTGTTAAAGGTTATTAAGAAAAGTTTAACATTGTGGCATTATGTTTAGAAATCAATGCTAAAAGTGCATTCACAGTCTTTATTTCTGTTATTTATCATTGTTATTTTGTTTTTTAGGTGACCCTCACCATCACATCAGGACGTATGACTGAAGGAGCAGAAGTACGACTAGCTTGTCGTGCAGATGCCAATCCTTTGGATCTAACATACCGATGGTTTATCAATGATGAATTGATGGCTGGCGACTTCACTACTGAATTCATTATTCCTAATATTTCTCGACGATATCATGATGCAATTGTCAAATGTGAAGTGCACAATCCTGTTGGGAAAAGTGAAGAATCGGAAACCCTAGACATTAGCTGTAAGGAAGTTAATGAACATATAATAGATTCATTAATTTGGAAATCTTATTTTTTATATAAATACATTTAGATTTAATTATCTAATTTATCAACAAATCATCTTAGTCAATTTTTCTCTATTTGATTTAAGAGGTATTTGATACCATCATTTTCTTTTTTAGATGGTCCACGATTTAAAACTCGACCAAAAAGTGTACAAGCTGATCAGGGAACAACTGTCACTCTCACATGCGATGTAGATGGCAATCCACCTCCAGATATTCTTTGGATTCATGAAGATACAGGAAAGGTATGTTAGTTCTCAAAGAGAAAATTTCTCCTTATATATTATAAAAATATATTTTATCAATATCATTATTAATTTTATTCTACCCATGTGTTAATTATTATCAGTTACAGTCAATATTATATTTTGGTACGTTATTTTACAGTCAAATTTTGTATCATGACACACTCTTAATGTTGAGTCCTTAATACTGGTGATTAACACTTGCGGATGTGATGATAATTAACTTTTCAATCAATCAATTTGGTCAAGTAAAAAATAATAGTAAATATTCCTTAATAAACATTAAATAATGTTCAACATTCTTCCTTTTCAGGTTGTTGGTACTTCTGTTAATCTCACTATGGATGTGGACAAACGAACAGCTGGGCGCTACTATTGCAAAGCAGGTGTACAAGGCTTCCATGAAATTGGTGCAGAGGCAACAATTATGCTCAAAGGAAAACCTACTATTAGCAGTGCATTGGTGCAATTTGGCATCCCAGGAGATAATGTGCGTTTGGAATGCCTCGCATTTTCTGTTCCCAAGCCAGATCATGTAGTTTGGACCTTCAAAGGCAATGAAGTAGATGCCTCGGACAAGGATTATACTATTTTGGAAGATCCTTTACCTGAAGGCATCAAAAGTACACTTGTGATAAGGGAGTCTCGAGATCAGCACTTCGGGTCCTACAATTGTTCGGTCACGAACCCATATGGAAGTGATACAGTAGAGATATTGCTAAAAGCACAAAGTGAGTACCACAAATGTTTTATTGTATTTTTAAACATTATATCAAAGAGATAGTTGGATATAAATATAACAAGAAGTTCTTGTATTTTCAGAAACATTCCCTCTTTTGTTGATCCTTGTGTGTGTCATTGGTGGAGTTATACTTATCATTGCAATCGCCATGATCATTATCCTATGCCAAAGGAGAGAGAAAAAACCACAAGGTAATATATTTAAATACTTATAGTGTGTAGCACAAGGTTGTGTATCTTAAAGAATTGAACTACAGTTGTCAGTGTAGAAAATAGGACAGATTGCAATAAAGTATTTAATGATTCCCATAGGCCACTAAGCTACATTGCATTTTAGATTCTAGGAAGCTCATACAATGTGATAAATGCTTTCCCAAAATGTGGTGTATTGTATCCAAGACAATATTTATGATTTCTGAATAATATATTTACAATGCTCATAGTGAGTTCCAACATAGACAACTTTCAATTAGCTACCTCAGAAAAAGCATTCATAAGAGTCATTAATACTAAGAAAATCCAAAGAACAGTGTATTTTCAATGGAATGATCATTTTTCAAATACTAATAGTATTTACTTAAAAACTCAAGTCTTACTTCCACTCTAGGAGCAGAAAGTGTATTTTTAATAACTTAAGATTTAATGAAAAACATGTTAACAGTTTTTCCTTATGAATCTGGTCAGCTTCTTGTAATTCCATGTAGGCACTGCTGTACAACTTCGAAAGCAGGCTCTTCAATGATTCACCCTAAAAAAATGGCCATTGAGAGACAGTTAAAAGTTGTTCTGAGTTCCATTGTCATGTGTTGTAGATCTCAGGTCCATTTCTATGCCTCTTGTATTGTAAATTTTTGAAGACTTCTAGCTTCTTAGTTTGACTAGTTCATGAATCACTGCTTAATTAATTCTAAATACAAATATTTGTAAATATCCCTTTTTTTAAAAAAAAAACTATTCCTGTCATTGTTTCCAGACTGCAGAGATGCTGAAAAGCAATGTAAAGAGTCTGATAGATCCTCAAATATTTCTGACCTCAAAATGGAATTGAGAACAGGATCTTCTGTAAGCAATGTTCACTGTGAACTGGAGTATGGCCCTGACTCAGAAACGGGGAGTGAAAGTGTGGTAACTAGAGTTGGTATGCCACTTGCTGGCCCTGTAGCCATGCCTGTTAATGGTGGAGAAAACATATACAGATATTCAACTGAATTTACTGAACCCATCTTCCCTCCTAAGGTACCTGAAATAATTATTCATCATATTTATGCACCTAACAGTTGTGTGCTTTTAATAATGTTTGAAAAAGAAAGAAAGCTCTTTTCATAAATTAAAAAGGTTCACTAGCACCATCAAATAAAAGACACTAATTAATTTTTATTTTTGTTAATTAATGACTTAATGTAGAGTATGGTTCCTTTATCCTTTTTCTCTTGCTACTTGCAGAATCATTTACATTCAACAATTTTACAATAAATTGTTTCAAGAAAATTTATAAATATTTCTTACGTTTCAGGATGGGCAAAATAATAATGGATATGTTCCATATGTTGATTACTCAAGAGATTTCAACCCTCCACCTCCAACAACATTGGGTATTGAGAGCAGCCGAGAATCACTCACAATGCCCAACATTGACCCTCGTTATTCAGCTGCGTATGGGAATCCATACTTGCGCAACTCCAGCACATCTCTTCCTGCTCCTCATGCAACTCACAATACACATGTGAGTCATGCAGTGGGAACTCCTGCCCCACCACCGTATACTCCTGCAACTCGAAACGGTGCTGTGCCTCAAGTAGCTCGACTGCCACATTCTCCCACCACACAGTACATTGTGCCCAACTCTCAGCCAACGACTGTGAAGAGAGGGACTTTGGCAACTCATGTATAATGCAAAACCATTATCCACTAGAATCTGTGAGTGCATTCAGGATACTCTAGGCAAGTTTGGAAAAGCAATGTTATGATGCTAGTACTGTGGTGCAGAAGGTCCTAGAACTGTATTCAGCTATCTCGTGTAAAGTGATCTGATGAGTGAAAAGTGATCTGGTGGAGAATGAATTTGTAAAATCTGAGTGCTTCTTGTTCAAAGAGAGTAAAGTGTGTAACATCACAAACATTGTCGTTATTTACAATTCATTGTATATATCCATGACATTAGTGTTTCATAACAATGAGTGTAGAATTGTTTGGAAGCCCAACCAACATAAAGCATGTAGATGACTGTTACAATCATCAGAGCTTCCAGTTAACTGATAATGGAATTCTCTCTAAATACCAAAGACTTTATTTTGAAATATACGGTAACATTGCAGAGAGGATGAGAGAGACTTATGTCAGTGAAGAACTGTGTTTTTCACTCAGTGTTGCAATAGTGAATTTGTGTATGAGAATGAAGATCTCATGTTATAAACTGGTAACATTTCTCTCGTGACTTTGTAATGGTACTGGCTGAGCCTGAAATAAGTTCAGTACGTGCATAGAAAAGGGAAAGAATGTCAAAAGTCTCTAGCCACATGTGCTTAATTCTGTTAATATAAAGTCTAAAGTGAGTGGCTTCTAATGCTCTTCTTTCTTCAGATCTTCAGACTGTTGCAGAATATTCCCCTTAACATAAGTATCTTAACTGTGATTATAACTATTTTGAATGTATTTGCTATAAAACTGTGTCATTTTGGATTTTCTTCCATTTTGAAAAATTAAATACATAAATGTTACAAAACAGAAAATACTATAAAATGCAGGCCTAATGGTTCAATTTTGGGAGAGTTTTTTTTTTTAATATAAATTATTTTAAAGTATTATAGTTGATTTTATGAAGGTCTCTTAAAAATAGTTGCCAATGGCTTAATAGACAATTTCATACTCTATGTCAATTGACACCAGGGCTGTAGAATGAATTAAATTGCTCGATCTTCACATACTTTTCAAGGCAGTCCAGTGTAAAATGCGATGCACTCATTGCATCTGTTATACTAACAGTTGTTATTTTTATAATATAGAAGGCAGTCAACAGTTAGAGCCACCAACAGCTAATAACTAGAAAGTACCCGTCCCTAAAACATCCAACCATTGAGTAACAATTTTCAAAAAACTTGTACTGCCGGCCAGTAGATATATTTGTATCTCATTACACTGATTTAATTGTTCCATGGACATTTAGAGCAGTTGCCATTCTTGCAAGCCTTGAAAATTGAGCTCTGGGTGAAGGCTCTTGCAAATCCTGAGAATGAGTAATTGTTCAATTTATGTTTAATGTTGAGTGAAGTCTGCCTTAGTACTAAGAGACGACTGATGTGTGTGTGGGCCTAATTGTTTTGCATATACTTGTACATACATAAATGTAAGTATCATGAAAAAATGTACATTCATATTATGTTGAAAGTGTGTGGGTGCAACAATACATAATTTATGGTGCCAAGAAGCAGTGTTCAGTTATAATTGCTGTTGTAGCAATTCAAAAATGCATTGTGCACCTACAATTCAGAAATGCAGTATCTGCATTCTCAAAAAATACAGTAATAAAAATTATTTAAAAGTATCCCTAAATATATAAATTATCTTGGAGTATATAATTTTGTTATATTGCAATTAAAGCTCTATGCCTAAGGCCCTGTTTCATTGCAAAGTGTACAAATAATCCTGTTCTTGAGTTGATATGAAAACACTATCAAAAACTTGATTCTACAAAGAAAGCATTATTTCAATAAGCAGAAAAAAACAATGAAAAAATTATTTTCTATGGCAAGTTATGCTCAATGTCTACTTGAAAATGTCGTGAAATTTTATACATAAAATTTGTATGAAATTATAAAGGACATTTTGTTTTGAACATAAAAACTGGCAATGTAGTTTTCAAAAGCACAAAACTTCATTCTTCACTTTCATTACGTCATTGATTTATAAAGATATATTTACAATGATTGTTGATATACATTCTGTATTTTCTCAAAAAAGAGTATATAGAATAACAGGTTGTTTTTTTTTTTCTTTCTTTTTTTCTTCTTCTTTTTTTAAAAAAGACACTGTTGTTATCATTGCATATTTGCAAATAATCTATTCTGTTCATCTAGAATCTTTATTTAATATTTATATATTAAATAATACTATATTGATTTGATATTACAAAAATTTTACATTGTAATTATTATGATCAATTCAATTCCAAAAAGGAAAAAAAAAAACAAGTTTATTTACTGAAAGAATCTTGTAATACTAGATATACTCAAGAGAATGAATGGTAATTGAGCTGCTTAGGACAGTATTAAAGGAAATATTGAAATACAATCTTTTTAATTTTATCTTTATAGACTGAAATTCTAAATTGGTGTATATAAACATTTTATGAAAAACAAAATATGAGACTTATTATTTACCTATAGTTAATTAAATAAGTTTGTAAAAAGTGTGTAAGTAGTCCTCCTATAGTAAATGACCGTCCTCATTGATAAAGCTACTTTCGAGTTGCCCATACTCTCTGACTGAGAGGGTTATGAGAAGACATTTTTCTAACTACAGCATTTTGGGAAAGTATGAATGGAAGAATAGAAACTCTAAACTTGTTAAATTTGAAAGTGCAAAAGTACTTTTGAATAATTTTAGTTGAAAAAGAAACTTTAAAGACTTTATATGAAAGGGTTTTTGTTACTCCTGCATCTTCATGGAAGTATCTACATCCAAGAGGTGAGATACTAAGCTAATTTTGAAAAACAGTTCAATAGATTTTTGATTTCTGAAAAAAACTTTAAAATTTAAGATGAAGTTGATTCTGTAGAGGGTAATTACAAAAGATTGGCTCTAAAGGCTTATCATGTTTATTTTACTTAAGAGTTGTATTTCATGATATTATCACCACAGAAATACCATAGAATGTCATTTGAGGAGAAAAGTTTTCAATTACTCTGGATGAAAGACATTATGTATTCAAAATTTAATTCTTGAGTCTGCTACTAAGGATTTTTTATTGTTTATATTTTTATTTTTCACTTCACATTACACAATTTATACTATTATTAAAATTACAGTTGACTCCAGTTATAGTGTCACATACATTACAAATAAGCATAAGAAGATTCAGATATAGTGAACCTGGACCTCAGCTGTAGTGAAAGTGGGAAATACATCCTGGAAGTATATATTACCACAATGCTACAAATTCCAACACTTGGAAAATATCGTTGGCCAAAGATCATAATCGAAGAAATCTCCCCTCAGCCTGAAGGTAGTGAACCTAGAATAGGGCCCTTACTGATGACCTTATACCACTCTGTTTCGCTGCAGATAGGCCAAGTCCTTCATGAGCAGGCAGCAGCAGCAGACAGCGGTGACGCATGATTCCTTTCTTCAGTTTCATTTTGATGTTAGGCAGGTGACAGGAAGCATGCGACTACCACAGCCCCTCTGCCCAGTGACACTCCTCATACTGCACATAAAAGCCATCGGTTTCATTAGCCACTTGTACCGTCCTGCTGCAGAAAGGATCTCATATGTTATTAGGTGAGTAAACGGGGCTTTGGAGAGTGGGACCGTGTTCCAACAGTGGAAGAGGCATTGAAAGTCAAAGTTGCATTGTAGAGACTGCATACTTGGATACTGTGGAAAATGCAGAATTGAGTATGGAGAGAGCATGAACTCTGGAGACGCATCAAGAGAAATTACTAACAAAAAATATGCAAAGCAAGCAATTGAAAGTAATTGAATTTTTTGGGGCAAATAGTCATATTAAGATTTTTAGTTTGTACTGTTAATGTATTTTGCTGTATATTCATATTAATAAAATCAGTCGTTGGGTAGAAATTCTATATAATTTTGACGTAATCGGATATAGCGCATCTCTGATATAGTGAACCAAAAATGTTAGTCCACAGAAGTTCACTATAACTGGAGTTGACTGTACTAAGAAAATTGTATTACAGCTTCTCTTATATGCAAGGCTTTAATTGATATTGAAATACAATTCAAGTTAATATTTTAGAATATTGGAATAATAATTTTCTTATGGTTATAATTATTTTTGATACTTACGATTAGTACAAGTGTTTATTTGACATATATTAACTGACCATCAACATCAACATATGCAACTGAACATTCAAAATAGGTATCTCTTTTCAGTTCTTACTCTTAAATAATCCTACAATTGGTGTGAATCATAAAAACTTCATGGTATGAATAACAATAAAGTTTATAACAAGATTACCTAATTGGCTCGCTGGGCTCTAGGACCTAGGGCCTATTATAAAATTCTTAGAAACATGAAGTTCATTTACCGAGTTGTAGAATGAAAATTTGTCCCACTAATTTTTTGTTTCTCTTAATTGATTCTTTGAAAATAAGAGTAATATGGGTGGCCTTTACTATTGGGCTCCCTTTTCCATTGAACTTCATTATTTACATCCTGTCTCCGTCTTGTCTATTACTTGTGGTTAGACCACTCCCAGTCTCCAAACAAGGCAAACTGTCATTCATTGCATCTTAGGCTCCTGCTGGGGAACTTTAACTTGGTTTCTGTAGATTCATCCCGAAAATTCTATAATAGATTGGCAAAAGTGTTACCTGGTTCCCTTAAGGATATTCTGGAAGAATTGTTGGTGAATAGTACATGTTTTCAAAATTTTCAATGCACCTGGGAATTATTGTCCATTTTTTGATAATAATTAAACCAAATTTTGTACCAAAAAAAAAAAAAAAATAGGTTGATACTTTTTCATGTAACTTTCTATGTTAAAAAATGGACTAGCTGAGCAACTAACATGTAAAATTGATTTTTCATTATAAACTTGCATCCATTGAAGTCACAATACTAAGCTGAAATGCCATATTAAACTACTCAATAATAAATACTATACAGAGAAAGAAATTATAACTTTCATGGCACAGTTAATAAATATCAATGATTTTAGAATAAACTGTTTACAGGATCACTAGATGGCTTGCAGGGCCTCTTCCCCAAAAGTTGAATAATAATTTTCTTGTTTGTCAGAAAAAAGGAGGGAAATCAGTGATATGCAAGGAAATGAAATGTTTTATCATGTATGAACTCCTTAAAAAATTTTCATGGAGGCCACAGCCCCCTGGTCCCCTCTTTGTGCACACCTGTGTTATTGAGACATAGAAAAAAAAGTTGTAATGAAACATTTAAATCAATAATGAAAGAATTATGCTTGTGTTACAAATAGTATCATTATATATTAAGAAATAAGTGCCATATTGTGTACTTCAATAATTTCCACAAAGTTGTTGGTGTTGTTTGTTGTTTTTTTTAATGGTCTACAATAGGAAGTAAATAGGAGCTTCGAAGACCATAATCCAGCCCTGCATAAGTTGGTTTGGTTGATGTTTTGGAAATGCAAAAATCTCATAAGATATCAATATTAGACTTATGTGGTTTTATATAGTAAGATAAAATTCTTGTAAATTTACCTATTACAAGAAAAAATAACAATCATTTCCTTATATGCTTATGCCAACACACATTTAACAAACAATTTTGGTAGATGAAGTGGAATCCGTTTTTTCTTCTTTGATATACACATCAACTTTAAATTCAATACACTTTTTTGTTTCATTTTAAATGTCAAAATACACATGGCATAGTTTGTAGCACAGTCACAGTGCATGAAAATGCAAGCGACCATAACACCATCACAAGCTTGGGGACACCTAAAACCTATAAAAAAAAAGGAAGATGTTGGAAGATCCATAGAATAATTTTAATAAATAATTGTAACCTTCAAGGAGTTGGAAAATCTCATAATAGTGGTTAGTTTTACATTGCAGTGCATGTAAGTAATATAAATTATTACATTTTTTATCAGAAAATAACAATTTTAGGTGAAAAAATTAAAATTATTTTTTCAAGTTCCTTTTCAAAGTTTCAGTACTAATTTATCATTAGGGAGTGGTAAATCGTTCATTCTCATTCATTCTTGTCCTGAAGATTGAGCTGTAAGAATGTAGCCTGCACACACATCAATAAACAATTTGTAAGTCCATGTGTTCTTATTTTATTTAACATGGTAGCAGTTCGTTGGTTTAGAAATTTGTGAAGTGAAATTGAAGAAAACTTAAGAAAAAAATGGCAGCTGTTAAGATACCAGTTTTTGATGGTGAGGATTTTGAAAATTGGAAGAACGGTTTATTGTGTATTTAAAATTGAAAAAATGTTATTCAGTTGTTACAAGAAAAAAAAACAAGTACAGACAAAGAAGATTGGGATGAGAGCAATTTAAAGGCTATAAATTACATATATATATCGCTATTACAAATAAACAATTAAGCTGCAGCATGTCGGGACGGAAGATGCCCTTCTGCTGGAGAGTGCGTGAGTGACAAAGAAGCTGCTCATGAAATCATGAAGTTTGACGAAATGTATTCCATAGAAACAACAGCACTAGAAATAGTTTGTCGCAACAAGTTCGATAAATTGAGGTTAAAAGACTTTAGCGATACGGGGGTATTTTTCAGTGAATTTGAGAAATTACACATAGAGATAGTAAGAGGAATTAAAGTGAGCAGGCGCTTAAGTATCAGAAAAGGAAAAAAAATGAACTACATGGTGAGAACACTGCCAGAATCGTAGTTATATTGGTGATCTAATTGATGCTCTGAAAAAGGAAGACAAAACTATAATTCGTGAAAAATAGATCCAGATGATGAAATTCAGAGACGAAGATGAACATTCAAGTAATAGAGCCAATGCTTTCAACAGTGACAACAAAACGAGCATAACGAAACCGGAGCAAAATTATTATCAGACTGGCAGAGGGTCCTGGAAACGTGGCGGACAATTGAGAGGAAATCAAGGTAATATCAATCAACAAGAAAGTTATAACAATTGGATACGTGATCGTAACAAACAGCATGGAGGTTATAATAATAGGCAACGTCGTAACGATCAGCATGGAATCTGTAACTGGCAACGTGACCGAGGCGAGCAGCATGGAGGTTATGGTAACTGGCAACGTGGGCAGCGTGGATCTAGAGGCGCTCAGTATCAAGGCGGCCAGGGGCTTCTAGCTTAGAGCTGAACCTGGCATGCGTTGTCGATAAGGATTAGTTGGAGTTCTGCAGGGGCATGAAACCACGGAACAATAAAGAATGTGAAAGTAGGCGGTAATACGGGGTAATGATTTCTGCGCCATCTACAGCAGGTCCGTAGTGAGCCGAACTAAACGTGTGACGTCATGCAATTCAAAAAGCTGGCGGTGTTTGTTTTTTGTTAGTGCAGGCAGGTGCTCCTTTTTATCCAAATTTTTCAGCATTTTGTTAGTATGTAAAATGTCATGCCTTTTAAGTAGAGTGAATTGTGTCGCGAAATTTTATTTACCATGTCTAAAACTTTGTTTTCGGTATTTTGGAAGATGATATTAAGAAGACTGGTGGTAGACAAATACATTGCTAGGATTTTCGCCCTACCAGCAATGGAGGTATTCATAATTCATTTTGGCATATTGTTGCATAATTGCAATTATTTCATTTGTGAATATTTACACCATGCAAAATAGTCTTAAAAATCCTTAAATCCATGTACCATAACCTAAGTACATGTATCATTTATTCTGTTCTATGTGTTTAAAAGTATTGTAATTATATTATTTCTAACCAATTATTTCGTATAGTATTGGACAAGTTTTGTAATACATCCATTGTTTGCAAAGCCCAGGTATTTAAAATGTCTCATTTTCGAATACACATAATTCATTATTGTTTGTATTTCTAGAATAGGTACACCTTCGTAGTGTATGATGAAATGTTATTAATTTAATTTGCTTAGGTGTACGAGTTAAGTTTCCATTCTGGAGGTGATATTCGAGTTGCTGTATGTTTTGAGGAGATAACTGGCAAGGTAAAAACACATTAGACTTCACCAATGTTAGAAGATGGAATTGTATCAGCAGTGTTTCCTACAAGCACAGCCCTCTTGTCTTCTCAAAGAACATACCAACAAAATCTTATTACAAAGTGTGCCAGTGAAATCATTTTTTCCCTTGAAGCTGCAAGTGCTGCTAATCTCGATGATATTGTAGACAAATATATTATTTCAGCATCATATATATCAAATAATAATTGCCTTTTTTGTAAAAACTTGCCTAACATGAACTGGAAATCTGTTAATAAATAATCAAACCAATTTTGAATGTGAAAAATTAAAAAAATTTTTGTTTTGGAATGTGTAATAAAAGAACTGTACTATACTTTGTACTGTTCTATACTCTGAATACCTAAAGTTTATTTTGAAAATTTAAAATTATTAAGGGCACTGTCCAAATGAGGTAAAATATTTTTTGTGAATTTTTTGCATACTTCAGTGCTATGAAAGGTTAATATGTTTTAGATGATTTTTAATTAAATGTAGCAAAATTTGGATTGGTGAATGAATCTGAACAATAAATCCTGTATTAATATTATTGATAGTTATAGTAAAAATCTAAACCAATTTTACTACATATTCTGTCAACAGAAATAGTTCAGTTTGTTCTGCTCGTTTGTAGGTTTCAATGAGGATAGTTTGAGTGTGGAAATATAGTAATGATATGCAGTAATCAATCAGATAGCTATAGTAAATGAAAAATCTTGTATTTCAGCCTAGACAGAAGAAATCTGTGCCAATTGTTAATTTTATTCTAAAGTTAAGAATATTCCCAACCTAAAAGAAGATAGCCTACAAATTCGGGGAAACAGGCCAAATTGAAATTGCTATATCCTCCACAAATTTTCATTTCATAAGATTTTTTTGTAAACAATGCTATTCTCTCTTTAATCCTAGAACACTAAGCATATTTACTGGTATGTTTATACTAACTTCAAGGCGAATCGACTTGCCAAACATAAAGCTAGTGTAATTTATACATTTGTTTCATTTTCCTTACATGAAATACTCTTACATGACTTACATGAAATAGTCACTGAACCAATGATTGATATTGATTCGAAATTACAATTCTATTTTTGGCTAAAAAGTGCCAAAAATTAAGGCTGGTATGATTTCAATCATAATTTAAATCAAATGATAATTTTAAAAAATCAATGATTTAAGTCAATATTTATGATTTGTAATATGTGAAAATATTTGAAAAAAGAAGTTATGCAGATAAAGACTTAAATCAATTATACAGTTTATATAAAAAATATATTATATTCCTTATGAACTTTCACATAATTGAACAATTTTGAGAAAAAAAACAACACAATGTAATATACATTAAAATGAATGTGCTTATGAAATGAACAATAAACAATTTGTAGTAGTTATTTACTAATGGACTTGGATGATTTAATCATTTAACATTGTCTTAAGTCAATGTATATTAGAATGTGTTCCAATGCATTCATTGTAAGACAATATGTAAAAATTTCCAATTTTTTAAAGTCTTATTTTTCATTAGTTTAATTAAAATAATTTCATAAATGAGTAAAAACTCATTCACTAAACACTGAGTGAAGTAATTGCAGTTGATCATGAATTGAATTCTTCTGTTAGTTTTGTATAATGCTAATTTTCAACATACTAATATATTATAATTACACTGCATATGAACAAAACAACAATACACCATTTTATTTATAAACATGTCTATACATTTATATTCACAAAACCAAAATTAGCATTGAGATTCATCATCCTCTCCAGCAGGATAAGAAGCATGCTTGTGCTTAAGCTGACAAGTACCACAAGAATAATATTAATATTCTAGAAGTTTCCTGCATTTCCATCTGTTTTTTTTATCACTCTGTCCCAATGGTTTGTGTTTTGGAGGAACCATTAATTCCAGCCCGTTCGAGAGTCTATTCATCTTTTTTGTTTTGTTGTCTTTTTCATTGTTTCTCTGTGGATACAATTCATGAAGAAACCCAAAATGATGGTGTTCCAAGGTAAGGATGTAAGATAAGTGAAGATTTTAATTTAAACAAATTTACATCAAATAATTGAACAGATGTCAACATTCCAACAGTTAGGAAACTGGACCTTTCAATTTTGTTTCCTAATACTGATATGAGTTTACAAAATAATGAGACATTTATACCATTTTCCCCTGCTTTTCATCTATGTATTCAGGTAAAATTTCATTAAAAATTGTTATATGTAGCCAAATTATATTCGTGCTTTTTAATTCTTTCACTGAGATAATATTAAAATGTTGATTTATGTTATAGGAGGTTCTGCAAGATTGGCTACACCAGTGGAATCCATTACATCAGTCCCACAAATATCAGGTAATCTTATTTGAAGTGAGATTTATGTTTTGTATATATTTTTTAAATGAAAATTAATTTTTATTCTCACTGTGCAACAGCTCTTGCTGATCTGCCCGTGCCTGTCTCGGAAGGTGAGGAAGAGATAGTCACATCCAGCAGATCAGGAAAATGGGCCACTTCTCCCTCTCCTGAAGTCACAACACCATCTGAGAAATGGTAAGTGCATGATCCTCAGAAAGAACCATCAACCCCAAGCTCTCAGACTCGCTTATGAAGTGGTAGCCATCCATTGGTGCAACTGTGTGAAGGATCTCACCCCTCGTAAGTGTCTGATGTATTGTGACCTTCAGGAGTGCAAATCAAACATGTGCAAGAGCGTGTGGAATTCCTTCAGGGCAAATTACTATCTACTCGATGAGATTGAAGGAATAGAACAGCCTTGCAGATGAATTTGGGGAACATATTTTGTCCCTGTTTTATGGCCTCCTGATGGCTCAGCTCAGCAACAAACCAAAATCTCCTTTTGGTCGTACATGGTGTACAGAAGTGAAGGTAATTTTGTGAGCCCTTTGCAACTGTTGTCTTCAGGCATATAAACTCCTCAGGAAGTTCATGTAACTTCCTTCTCCTGATACTCTTCTCCAACTTTCCAATAAAATTCCTTTTCACATTGGCCTCGATGATGTTTTTCTACAGCATTTAGAGGATCAATTAAAATTTATGACCCCAAATTCAAAAATTTGTTCTTTCATTTTTGATGAAATGTCAATTCAGAAGAATTGAACATTTAACCTGTCCAGAAATATATATTTGGCTATGAAGATATAGGTTCCCAACGAATGTGTCAGTACGCAGACCACGCTTTAGTTTTTATGGTTCATGGTCTCATTGACAATTGGAAGCAACCTGTAGCGTACTATTTGTCTTACGGTACAATTTCAACCACAGATTTAGAAATGTTAATTATGGATATCACAGGTGCTTTACAAAGAATTGGTTTTAATATTGTGGCACCAGCTAACATTCGCTGCTTGAAAACTTTGGCCTTAAAAACCTGCAATTGTGATAGACCAATTTTAAAAATTAATAATTGTAAAATTGTTGTAATTGATGATACTCCTCATGTTCTCAAAGCAACAAGAAAAGCTCTTTTGAGCAACAAAATTATTTTTAAAACAGATTGAGGAGAAGTTAAAGAAACTAGATGGCAATTTTCAGTGGACCTTTTTGAATTGGAAAAAAAAAAAAAAAAATTAATAAGAACATGGGGAATATCACAAATGAACATATTTATCCTAAAAAGAAAATGAAAGTGAAGTTAGCTGCTCAAGTTTTGAGTGTAACTGTTGCTAATATGTTTTATAAATGTGGTGTGGAAGGGGCCAAGTACTTGGCTGAATTTATTAATAACATCACTTGTCTCTTTGATTCTTTTAATCATTTGAAATTTGATGACACTCACTTTTATAGAAGACCTCTGAGTAACACATCCCAGAATTTAGAATTTTGGTATAGTATGAAAAGGAAACTGGATTCATGGCAGTCAGTTGATGCAGATGGCAAGTCTGCTTGCACGAAGGTGAAGGAGGCATGGTGTCGAAATATTGATGCTATTTCCACATTGTGGAGAATGCTCTGAGACTTGGGAGTGTCATTGTTGGTAACTCGACGTCTCAACCAAGATCCACTTGAGAATCTCTTTGATGTAGTTAGGCAGTGTGGTATTCGCAACAACAACCCTAAGAGTCTGCAATCCTAAGATTGGTGCTAATGATAAATTTAACTGCGAGAATGCAGATGTTCTGTCTAATTTGCGTGAATTTGTGAGCAAGATTGAGAGTGTAGGAGCAACATATATTCATGTGTGTTATGTTTTTGACAATTCACCTTTCTTGAAGGGGGGAGAGGAAGTGAAGACAACATGTAGACAATCCTCTAAGAGCTGCCGAGGCAACAAGGAAAACCAATAAAATTCTTACCAAAATTCACAATCTGGAGTCATGCCATTCTTGTTCTATGTCCTATGCCACCATACTTCTCCACATGAAGAAAGTAATGTTGTGTGTGTATGATCCAAGCCAAAGGATATTGTTATTAAAACATTCTGGGAGACCTCTTTGAAAATTTTCAAAGTTTTAGAAATCAAAGGGCATACACCAAAACTTCTTTAGGAAGTTCAAAATTATTGTCAAAATTCAGATTTTCAATTGTTAGGCTGTAAAGAGCATTGCTCTGAGATACAAAATTTAATAAAACTGTTGCTGAGCGAGTATGCAGTTAATGAGTTCTGTGCGAGGATTACTTCTTTGAAAAGAAGTAGGTTTCAGTAAATTAGTTAGTTAGTTATCATGTAATAGTTTTAGTTTCAAGAATAGTTTATTTTGAAACCTACTTCTTTTTGATTAATTGCTTTACTTAGAATATGTTTGACCCTGGAGCCTAATTTATTTGTTCTTTAGTTACTACTTGTATACTGTTACTACTACTTTTATCAGAGAAATGTTACATAATTTTTGTAAAAATGCAGACAAATGTTACATTTACATAAGAAATACAAGTACACTAGGTTTTACTTCATTGTGTTCTGTTGCTTGAGATACCTTATTTCTATCTGGTTTTAAGAGAAAAATGCTTCTATTGAGAGATACATTTTTAAAGGCTTCTGGGTCTTTTTTAATGTGTTTGCTGACAAACTTGGCAAATTTTCCCCTTCTGAAACAATTTGTTGTTGTTTCAAAATTTGTCTGGTATGTTAGTTTGTTTTCTTTTGTGTATTGTTTTGACACAAGTGATAGCACAAGTACTGGATATAAGGTTGCATTCTAGTGGTAGTTGCACTTTAAAACACTGCACACTAGATATATGTTATTTTTCATCCTTTTGTAGGATGCAAAACAATAAGAGGTTTCTCTTCACTTGCAGTAATAAGTCAATATTAAATATAATTAATAATTTAATTACTGCTGCCATTTAACTATAATTTATATTTGTATAATATAAATTGTATTTAATGATAAGCACAATTACTTCTGCTTTACATACTGTCTGGAAGCAAATTATAACTTTGCATTCTCTCCGAGATTTGCTAGGAAATGGAATATTGGAACATAATGAAGAGAAGAACACAGTAGTTTAAAAATGTTTTCAAAATTTATTTAAATATCATTATTAGTCTCTTGGACTCCAATTCAATAAACAATGAAAATGGGAAATTATTAGTGCAACAATAATTCAATCTTAGATATTTAAATTATCAAATAAATTAATATGTTAATTTTGTGTAAAATAATTTTGAAAATATAGGTGAAAAGGAAGAATAGACTCATGTACGAAACTAAAAAGGTACTTTCATTCAAAACTCTTACCGTTTTAGATATTAATCTATTGCACTTTGTGTAATACAACCAAGCTTCTGAAATTCTAAAAATAATGGTACATATGAAAAGATTATTCATTTTTCAAATGTGTAGTGTATTAAACTTTTTAATTCTTCAAAAGAATTGTTAGTTTTACATTGCTTCTTCATTAAAATGTTTTTTGAAATACTCTTATTAAAGAAGAATTTCAAAGATATTACTGAAACCATGACTTAATATGTAACGTTAATTGCTTTTGCTAAGCTGAGAAATAGAGTGCTGCCTTTTTGCTTGCTTGAATTGTCATCTACAGTAAAGTTTGTCATATGATAGTAATTAAATGATATATTACTAATTATTAATTGGGAAATCAATATTGTCACGTTCAACTAGTTATTTTATTGCAATTTCATAAGTAATGTCTTTGCAATGCTTGGAAGCACAATACAGTTAAACATGACTGGAATATCAATACTATAATTTTTTTATATCTTGAAACAGTTTTCATTCCCTTCAGTAGTTTGTAATTGCAAGTGGAATTTTAATCACATCAATATTGATTAATGGAAGAGATTTCTCTACAGAGACACTTCAAGAACAAGTATTTTCATAATAAATATTGTTTTGATTTATTGTTCAGATTTCATTGAAGTAACTATATGATTGTTGTGAATTTGTGATGTTTTGCTGTTATTTCTGAAATCAATATTTATCAAATTGTATTACTTGGAGAATTTGTATATCTCTTCTAGAAAATTTACCATTGTTTTTCCGATTTAATTGTAATAATTCTGTGTCATTTAATTTTATTATTAAGTTGTTAGTTATCCTGAGTCACTTCCTTGGCAGGGTATCATAAATTTCCTACAGAATCCTAAATTTAATTGTAAATTTCTCGCAAAGGAATGTAAAAAACAATACTGTGCATCTAATTGGTGGAAATGTCTTGCGTCATTACACCTATCGTGGTACTATCCCCACCACCGCTCAATTTAATTGGAGTTCCGCCCGTTTGACCGCAGCACTAACGCTAACCGCGAGAATTAACACGGTAGTTTGGTAGCCCTGGGCGGCAGATACATCTATCGGCAAAATGGACACAGTAA